TCCCCGACACCACACCCATCATCCCTCTGCCGTCACCTGACCGTCACCTGCAGCACCAAAGACAGGTACAGCGCCTCTTACAGCAGCTCCACTGTCACACACGCTTTATGAAAAGGCAGACACCGTTTTAGAGACACCCGTTCAGCTGCTCATTAACATGATTAGTTGATTAGCCAATCATATGGCAGCAACTTGGTCTTTCGTGTCATGTAGGCATGGTCAAGACAACCTGGTTTAGAAATCGATGAGTCTCGACTTCTGCTGCAACATTCAGATGGTGGAGTCAGAATTTACTGTAAACATGATGAAACCATGAAACCATCCTGGCTTGTATGAATAGATCAGGTTGCGAGTAGGTCTGTAAGGGTGTGGGGAATTTCTTTTGGCACACTTTGGACCCCAAAGTACCGACTGACCGTCATTTACCTGCCAGAGTTGACCTGAGTATCATGTCCATCCCTTCATGACCACAGTGTGCCCTGATCTCTATCCAGTCAGAGCCTCTTCCCATCTTGAATCCGACACTCTTTGCAAATTCTCCCAAACTGAGCCCCAGTAATGTTTTAATTTATTGCAATTTTAATCCGTGTGGATAAGATCGTCTTTTTCTGTTGCACGTTGAGGGCAAAGATCTGAAATTGAGTCATTCATCTGGTGGAGTCTTTCTGGGCACTTTAAAAAGCAAAAGCTTGTTAATGGTCCCTCACATAATAACTCTCACTTACTGTGTTCAAAAGCATGAATTTGGCAACCTTATGAGTATAATACGAGCACAGCATGCGTCAGAAATGTAATAAACGATGACTGTACGATGGTATTACTGAATGAAAAAAGGGCTTTGGCTGCAGTTCTACTACTATTTGTTTCAAGCTACATCATCCTTAGTGCAGTTATGATAACACTGTTTCTTTGTTCTTTCTTCAGCACAGTTTTCTGGATGAATGAATTTATATTTTCAGAATGACCGTGAGCTCTAACACAAACAAAAAGGTTCAAAGCTGTGTTTAGTAAAACGGAGTGGAATACAGTAAAATGTAATGGAGACTTCAGTAACTGTTAAAAGAAAAAACATCAAAAGTTATACCCTTTTTTTTTACTCTTTCATTGTTTGCAAATGAGTGTTTGGCAGATATTCATTGGAGCTGCTTGGCAAAGTATGCACATGGGAATTTTGACCTACATAACTGGTTAGAGACGTAATTATTTTGGGTAAACCCAGTTTTATGCTTCTTGTTTGTGCAAACATCAGGAGACAAAAGGAGCTTCCTTTTTTTGAGTTTCTAGATCTTTCATGTGATGAAATCTCCTTTCAGTACCTCAGCTGACCCCTCTGTTAAAGTAAAGAAAGCAGCTAGACATTTTGGGTCGAATGCATTATTAAGCAGCACTAAGTGCTCTACTTTGTCGTGTTTTGATTTTCCCCAGCATCTCAAAAATGGTGTGTACAATGATCTGACATTGTAGCTTCAGTATGTGAGCAGCGAACAAGCGTGCATAGTAGGTTAACGTGAGAGCAGAAATGCAGACTTGATATAGTAAGCATTACATGCAGCAGAGCAGAGCAAGCACAGATCATAGGTCCTGCAGCCAGAGTGCGATATTAGTGACATAAGATTATTTTAAGATGTGAAAGAGTCATTCACAGTTCTCAGTGACAACCAGAGAAGAAAGTAGGCAGAAGTCAGATTGGTGATGAAGAAATCCTTCATTCCTTCGGGTACTGCAATTGGCTGATATGATTGAAGTGCTTAAGCATATATGAATAGCCTACATACGGCAGATAAGTTCTGCAGTCGTTGTGAACTTTCATCACATTTCTTGTAGGGAGAGCTCCTCCTTTAATTAGACTAAGCAGTCTGTGAATGTGGTGTTTTTCCAGCAGCTGAATGTAGACGTCTAACCGTTGACTTCACAGCACTCGGATACGACAAGACGTCACCGGTTTTGGCAACGACGTTTGAACCAGATTGTGGTTTTTGTGTTGCTGCTTAAACATGGGTGGGATCTTCCATTCACTCCACTTTCCTCAGTCATTCATACGAGGTTTAATCGCTGTTTCTGGTTGTTGATGCTGAGACTGATGCTAGAAATTCCCTGCTGTTGCTAGCTTAATACTAGCTTTAAATCACAATGGTAGATGATGTTGTAAAGTGGCTCATTGTGCTGTGACAAACTACATATTTAAGGGAAAGTAAAGAAGTAAAGAAATGCTTCATAGGAGCCGATTCATTTCTTTAAAACTTGGCCCGTGGTCCTCATTCTTTATATTAAACTCACTTGTAGAATTTGTTGTGTTTTATAGCGACTTCTGAGTGAAGGTGATTGCTCATTCCTGTGAAACCTTGATTGTTTTTATCCTGTGGCCTTACAAGCACAACAGGAGGCAGGCTGTAAAGGCAGAAAGTGAGTTTTACTTCAATAGTACAGGTTCAAGGTTACACAAACAGGCAGACGGGGAGCACAGGGAGGATCAGGCTGAGGCAGAACCCAAAGTATGAGGAAAGGTTAAGAAAACAGAATGCTTGAAAGGTCAGGCATCAAGATAATCTACCAAAGGTGGAGGTGTATGTACTGAGGACTGGTGGGAGTAGCTGGTCTGAAGAAGGATAGGAGCAGGTCATAAGAAAACAAAACCCAGGCTGAATGATTTTTGCGAGTGTGACGTCTGCTAGATATGAGCTCTTCTGGTGAAAGTGATATAAATGGTCAAATGGCCCCTTTGTTTTTAATCTTGTATTTGTGAAAATGTACTACTATGAAAACTGTAACAGCTGTGAAGGATATAAACACTAAGAGGGGAATAGATAATAAATGATCGATGAATCTGAATCATAGGAAATCCACCAGCAGGCTAAGCCTATAGCAGCATAACTAAAAGCTGATCAGCCTTGATTAAATCAGACTCAGAATCAGTTCCAGGACTAACTTTACGTGTTATCAGAAAGGAAACTTTTATGTCTCATCCTAAAAGTAGAGAGGGATATCTGTGTCCTAAAACCAAACTGGGAGTTGATTCCTGATAGCTGAAGGCTCTGCCTCCCATTCTACTTATAGAAACTCCAGAAACCACAAGTAAGCCTGCAGTCTGAGAGGGAAGAGCCATATTGGGAAAATATGATACTAGTCTTAACAATATGATGGAGTCGAGATCAAGATTTTAAATTCAGTTCTGGGGCTAATATGGGAGAAACATCTCAGGTTCTTTTCTCAGATCATTCATCGTGTACTCCGTAGATGGGTTGTTCATTAAATTTGAACATTTTTTATTGTTTTACGCTAAAAGCAATGGGAAAATTATGAGTTTACTGTGCAAGAAATTCTCTGACATGGCCCACTTAGGATCATATTGGGCTGCCTGTGGCGCATTAATTAAAATGAGTTTGACTTCTGTTATATAGAGTATGCTAGAAAGGTAAAAGCACAGCTATTTATATTCCTTTTATAATGAGAGCCTCAGTCTTTGGATACTTTTTTCCTCTTACCTTTGTTTTGGTATTATTTACCCTAAAAACATAAATAAAAAAATGAACTATAGAAGACTCAAGCAAACAATAGTTTGCAACTATTGCGCTCATGTTATGTTCTCAGAGCCGGCAGCGCTGTAGTGACACCTCGAGGTGATCAGACTCTTTTTGTGATTCGCTGCTTCCTGCCAAGACCTGAAGCCTCTCCACAGCAGGACCACCAGAGGCAAACAGCTCTGCAAACACCTCTCTGAGCAGACAGCTCAGGCAAGCACCGCCGTTCGTTTCCCTGTGCTCGACTGGATGCTGCTGCTCGTGTAGCCATGAGCCATACAAATCCGAATCCAGATCCTGGATGACGAAAGTTTTTGTTGCAGCCGTAATTAGCGCATTGCTCAGAAGTTCTGAAGGAATTTTAAACAGTTTTTTATTCTCACCCAGCTTTCAGCTCTTTGCTCGATGAGGTCAAGAAAAGGACAAGGATAGAAAAAAAATAGAGTAGAAAAGTAAAAATGATTTTATAAAACGCTCACAAAGCAGGTTCATCCCGAGGTGATTCAGAGAAAAAAGGACGCGGGTTGAACGAATCACAGTTTTCAAGATAAGGATTCTGAGTGTGTTCGTTCACAATGTGTGTTTCTGATGATTGTTTTGTCTAAATCCTGTTCGTGCAGTTCGGCGAGACACGTCGAGTGCTGCAGGTCTTGCGGACGCTGCTGGAGGAGTTTCGAGAGGAGCTGCGGGAGGAGGAGGCGCGGCGATGCCAACTGCAGCAATCCTACGCCAATGACAAAGCCGCCTGGGAGGTCAAGTGGGCAGAGATGAAGTGCCATGTCGCCCAGGTACAGATGGCGTCTCAGCACCCACCTTTAAAGGGACAGGACACAATCTGCTTTTTTTTTTTTTTGCCTATTCGCACTCAGAGAAAACCTGTTTTGTTTTCCCGTTTTCCTACCTGTAAGCTCACTGCTCCTCTTTGGCCAGTTTTCCATTTTGAAAGTAAAACGCTGGAATGAATAATAGCTCTAAATAGTGTCTTAAACATTATCACATCTGACAAACAAACGAACATTCATAATCTCTCTTCACCGATTAAATTTAAAAAACGAACAGCATCCAAGGAAATAATGATGAATCACACTCTTGGCACTGCACAATGGATATAATCGGTCTTTGCGCAAACTAATTAATTCAGCTTTGAGCCTAATTGTTCAGTGTGCCTCTGAGCACATCTCACAGAACTGAAAACAGCTGTTAAAGCACTCATTCATATTCTTAATGAAATAGAAGTGCTTTGTACTTTGAAAGTATACCATCCTCATCTAAAAATGACATGGCTGTGTGTAACCTGATGTTTGTGTTGGTGTCATAAATGCTGAAGTCTGCTGATATAACAAACACATCCAGGTAGTTTTATTTGCTAAAGCATGCTTTCCTGCATCAGCACGAACTATTAAAAAGACCAGTTTTAGTAACGGATCGATGTGTCTGATTAGTTTTGGCTAATCATATGGCTCGATGACAATTTTTCCAACTTCACCAAAAAATGAAAAGTCTTGTTGGCAAAGCCCTGTGTGATAGCACGGCTGCTGTCTGGCAGAGCAATAAATAAAATGATGAGGAAGCGTTTACACAGTGCTGCATGCTGTCTGAAACCGACTGTCTGACAATTTTAATGCCAGATTGTGGTGGATTAGCGAATCTGTAAGTGTAAATCTAGTGTGGATTATAGCAAAGACGCATGTGGCTCAGGTCTGCTAATGTCACAAGCCTCCTCAGTCTGCATGTCGGAGTACCTTGGGCCGAGATACTGAAGGGATCGTGTGTGTTAGCGTGTGAATGGGTGGATAAGGCTCGTAGTAAGAAAGCACTTGGATTGCTTTCTCACAAACTAATTGAGTAGAAAAGCATCATGTCAGTACCAGTCCATTTATCATTTTATATTTGCTGAATAATGAGACCTCCCAATAGAAAATAAAATCTGCACCTCGCTAATAAAGTAATAACTAATTCTTCCAAAATTAAATTCGATTGTTTCCAGAAGTTAATCTTAGATAAAAGTCTTTGTAAATCTGTCTGGTAGGAGGATTATAGATGGTTAACACTCCTGGTTTAGCTCGAGGGCCAGAATCTGCCCAGCAACAACTCCAAATTTGGCCCATTGGACAGCTTTAAAAAACATATGGAGTGTATAGATTTTGAACTTTTAACTGTATTTTGTATTAGTAAAGACCCCCGTGTTATAGTGGAATCAAGGACATTTTCTGTTACCTTTACACGTTTATCATGTAGCTTCACTGATATGTCCCACTTCACATCAAAGTGGCCCGTATGTAACCCACGATGTAAAACGAGTTTGGCAACCCTGATCTACACCAGTCACTTCCTTAGAGGAGGTAATTAGTGTTTTATAAAAATGTAAAGGTTTGTTATAAAAGCACTTTTAAAACCAGCTGATTGGTGAGCCACATATTTTCCTTATGACTTGGTGGAGGGCAGAAGCTAAAAGAGCGAGTAATGGACTTAACCCTCTAAAGCCACGGGTATCATTTTAATCCGTGTGTTTTTGTGAGGTTTTGACACCCCTATAGCATCAGTGTCATTTTCTTTTCCCTGGAAAACTTGAACAAATTGCACAACAAATTTTTAAGCAATAAATTACACAAAACGCGATATGGCAGCCTCGCTTCTGTCAGTCTGCCCCAGGGCAGCTGTGGCTACAACTGTAGCTTGCCTCCACCAGTGTGTGAATGTGAGAGTGAATGAACAGTGGCATTATAAAGCGCTTTGGGTGCCTTGAAAAGCGCTATATAAATCCAATCCATT